TCTCCTGTTCTATCAGGGACTCTCTGTTGTGTTCCCTGTCAGGGTGATCATTGGTGGTAGCTGGGCACCATCTAGTTCTTCTGGTCTCAGACTGATGAAGTCTGTGGTTTATGTGGCCCTTTCTGTGTCTTGGTCTAGTATTTTCCTTGTGTCTTTGGTGTTCTTCATTCTCCTTTACTCCAGGTGGTTGGGACCAATTATGCACCTTAGGTGGCCGCTTGCAAACTTTGAAGACCCCAGATGCCACTCACCAAGGTAGGATGCAGAACATTTTCTTAATAAACTTTGTTACGCCAGTTGACCTAGATGTCTCCTGAAAGCATGGTCCCCAGACCCCTGTCCCTGCTACTCTGTCCCTTGAAGTGTTTGATTGTATTCAGGAAACTTCTTAGCTTTGGTTTAGTCCAGTTGTGCTGACTTCCCTTGTAGTGTGTGCTGTCCTAAAAATATGGAACGCTTCACGAATTTGCGTGTCATCCTTGCTCAGGGGCCATGCTACTCTTCTCTGTATCGTTCCTATTTTAGTATATGTGTTTCCAAAGCGAGCACTCAGTAAATAACTTCTAAATTATTAACTATGGTTCAGACTTTTATCTGATTCCCAATACCTACTAATTTCACATTTGCACTGGAATATCTCAAAAGGTCCTCAAAAACCTGAGTGTCATCCTTAACACCTTCCTTTTCCTCAACATTCAACCCTCAACCATCATATTCAATCCATTACCAACTCTAGTAGATTTTACCACCTAAATATTTCTTGAGTCTTTTTGTTTTCATCTCCAATGTTAGAACCCTAATCTAATGCATCATTGTTTCTTGCCATGATCATCTTAACTGGCCTCTCCGTTTCTAATCTTATCCTCTAATCTGTCCTCCACATTGCAGCTAGAAGAATCTTTTACAAATACAAACCTGGTTATTCAAGTCATTCTTTTAGTGACTTCCTGTTAGTTTTATGATAAATTATGTATTTTATATGACCTTTGACTTCATCTGGCTCTTTCTAGAATGATCTGACACCAGCTTATCTCTTCAGCATCAACTGTGCTGCTCTTCCTCTTGTTTTCTCAACGACCATTGCTCCTTCCCACCTAAGGTCCTTTGCATGTACAATTCCCTCTGCTGGCAATGGTCTTCTACCTCAACTCTCTACCTAATTGCTACTTTTGAGTTCTTAGATCTTAGCTTAGAAATCACTTTTCTAAGGAAGCTTTCTGGGCTTCATGGCCCTCCAACCAAGATGAGATTAAGTTCATCTATTGTAAGATTTTATTGAGCTGTACTTTTCCTTCCCAGTATTTGTCACTGTTTATAATTGTGTGATTGCTTGATTAATGTCTGCCTACTTTATTAGAATAGAAGCCTCATGTGGAGAAGGACAATAGCCATTTTGCTTGTCATTTTCTACCCATTGTCTATCTCAAAGCCTGACGCATAGTAAGTTAATAAATATTTGCTGAAT